TATATATATATATATATATATATATATATATATATATATATATATATATATATATATATATATATATATATATATATATATATATATATATATATATCTCCATGTACAGCTCCTATCATTTCATAAGAGAAGACAAATACAGGCAATCCTCATTTAGCAGTCATAACTAAGAACAACTTGGTCATTAAGTGAAGCAACCTCTAAATGAAACTGAAACAGTGTGTATTTTATTTTTTCTTCATTTTACAGGGCTGAATCCTGAAGTTCAATTGGAGAAAACCACTGACTGCTATTCTTCAACATGAGTTTCAGGACATGAATGTTGGGTTTGGACTATTTTATCAAAGACAATTCTAAATATTTGTCTAATTGTTCTAGTCTTTGAGTTTGGCTTTCCAAACTGACAGCTTTACCCACTTCCTCCTAAACAGCACTTGTTTCTAAATGTTTATATATAAAATGATTGTAAGGTGGTTTTTGTAAAAAACCAATTTTTATTAGTCCACACATGGCACAGGTGACACTTCATCTGCTCTTATATCTCTATCCTCTTTAATTTGTCCTTCCTTCCTTCCTTCCTTCCTTCTCTTCCTGTTAGCTTACAGCAGATAGTTAAATATGTACATAGTCTCTATTTACAGTGCCTACACTAGTCTAGCACTAGAGCCTGTAAACATTCTCTCTCCCCTTTTTTCTCTGTGTGTTTGTACACTCATACTTGGAGCATAAGTTACCTTGAAATGTTTTATTTTGAATAGCAAGTATAAATACTTAAAATAAATTTTTACCACTAATAATCCTGGAAGATTTATCTAACAAAATGCCTTTCAGTCTAGTTTTGGAGAACAAAGGTTTTGTGTTCAATAGCCTGCAAGAAGGGGAGAAAAAAAAAAAACTTAAGCTGGGGTGGGGGCAGGTCTCACTCCTTTGTCCTAAAACAAGGAAAAACAGAAACTCCACCTTGAAGCTTTCATGCACTGATGCTGATCCTTTACAAGAGAATTAATCTGGACTGAATTTATTGGCTTTGGCAGCTGTAAACACTGGAATACCAAGAGCCAGCCAGCCCCAGATTTGCCACCCAGATAAGTCTGCCCAGCGCCCCAGCTACCAAAGGAGGCTGGTTATTTTCAAGCTCCCTGCTCAGCTTGTAATCACTCAGTGTTGTATTGAAACCAGATTTACTGGCCTTTTTGAGGAGGGGAGCTTTGTGATTTCCACAGCAGACACAGTTGGAATTTTCAGAAGAAGGTCAACCCACCCCCACCTCACCCAACATACACAGGATAGGGACTTTTTAGCAGAACCAGTTAGGCAGGAGTGAAGAAGAGACAGACAATTTCTGAAGAACCTGGAATTGGAAGACACAAGTATTGTTGCTTTGGAAAAGAAAAACACAAAAATGAAAACAAGAGGTAGAATTGAGAAAGGGCCACTAAGAAGACACATGCAGTTATGCTCATTTGCAAGCAAGTCACAAGAAGCTCAATAGGGCAAAAAAATGTTTTTCAAGCCCTGGAATTTAGTTTCTTTGCTGAGATACCCAGCTCATGGATATGAAAATTCACTCATTGTATGCAATGTCTAGCACTATTTTATATCAGTTCAGCTTAACTTTGAGGAAACTATGTAGGAGGGCAATCCATCTAATAGATTAAATCGAACTCATGATTACCTCCCATTTTATGCCATGCAGTCTGTATTTAAGAAAAGATTTGCTCTATACTCTGTTTTAGACCATTGGACATCTTGTTTGATCTTAATTTTCCTATGGTAATTTTTTAAATGATTACAAATCAGCTTCCACGCCTTCTCTGGATCTGCAGAACCCACGGATACAATTAAAACCACACAATTTGCTTTTTAAGGCCAATGAAAAGCCAGGGAAGCATATGGTATCATTTCCCACCAACCTCTTCTTCATATTGTGATGCAGTCCTTGTGCATAACAGCATAGCTTTTTCAAGCTTCTTTTGATCTAAATGCAGAAACGGGCATTTAGAGGTTCCTGTGAGGGAACTTTGAAGGACTCAGGCAAAAATCTGATGGGAAGAATTGCCCAAGATCTGGAAATCTGTGACACTAACAATGTAAACTTCTTGGTACCATATTTTTTAAAAATGTCCAAAATATTTAAAATGACTTAATGTTATCTGTATGTACTTTGGGATTTTTAATAGGTTGATTCATCTCATTTTAATGTTGATTTATGTTGATTTTACCCATGTTGTTATATTATATTTAAAAGAAAGGTACTATACATTTTAAGCATATACTAATAAAGTAAAATAAAAATAAAAAATCCACCTCCAGTTCCCAAATTTAATTATTTGCTCCACAGCTGGCAGTTCTACTCCATAAGAGGAATTGTAGCAAACCAAAATGATGAGGGCAAAGATGTCACCATGTAAACTGCCGCCATTACCTGTCTGGGACAGCTAGGTAAGCCCTGGTATTTGGATTGTGAATATTGTCATACACATTTGATGATTCTCTTCCCCCCCACTTTCCCATGCACGTTTACAGGGGATGGGGAATCTGCAGCCCTCCAAGTGTTGCTAAAGTGGGACTCCCAACAGCTCTAATTAGCTCAGCCAAGGAACCCTTTTCAGGATTATCCATTCTCATGGCTGAAAACTGAGTCCCGCAGCTAATTCTAGAGCTTTCTCTCTATGTTCAAAAGATGCAAGATTGTTTGTTTCCAGTGACGTGATGTTCCAAAAGGCACCTTATTTTGTATTCAGTTTTCTACAGGTACTGTTGCTAGTGATAAAACTGCAGAAAGAATAGGAAGACTGCAATAATCTACCAACCCATCTAAAATGAAATAGATGGCAAGGCCTGCCCTACTCAGAGCAAAAGATTCTCCCGAGGCCACGCAGCTCACATTATTTGTTCTATTCTGCCCAAAGCAAAGTAGGCTTTGATCCACTTCTACCTATAAACATAGTCAGACCATAAAACCCAGGTTGTATTGTGTCATAAAACCAAGCAATAAAGCTGTTTCAAGATACAATCCGGAGCAATTATCTCTTGTTCTGGGAGTATGAAAAATCCATGAACAAGCCTAATTTTCTTCCTGACTTACAGACTTTTTATAGACTTTTTATATACCGTAAGTCTTGACTGGTAGCTTGCAAGCCAGATCCTGCCATAGAAATGCTTTTAATAAGTGTTCTTGCATTACAGTTCATTGTGTCATCTGTAATCTGGAAAGAAGGAATCCTGCTCATCTCTCTCTGAACAATCCTTATTTCAGTCCCCCCATAATTCATTCAAGAAAGATTATTCATGCAGCAGCTAGGTGCACACAACAATTTTAACGTAAAATGGAGTTTTGTGGTTTACCATGCTATGCAAACTAGGTTATGTTATATATTTGGGTTGAGTGGTTGTACCAACCTAAATTGTTTCATGGTTGTCTGTGTTAATGCATGTGTGTGGGGGAGGGGGGAAGGAGAAGCTGTATTAGCTTAGTCTTGATCTTACCCCACAAGTTACTCTTTAACTATATAGTTATATGTAAACTCACACTAATCACGAGCATTTTTTCCAATATCCATTAACCTTTCCTGACAAGCAATGCCAAAGATCCAAGACTGTTCAATAACTTGGATTTTTTGGGGGGAAAGTAGAATCTATCCAATTTAATCACAATATTCTGTGCTAGAAATCTTAGGAATTATATTTCTTCAACATTAGAATGTGTATTCAGTATGATGCAGAAATTGTAATATTTATCTTTCAAGCTATACCCCCCTTCTATACATAGTAGAATGAATTCATCCATCTTTATAGCCAGAAAATCAGTGACTGACAGAAGAAAACGGTCTTTGATCATTCGAAAAATAGGATGCACATTAATTTATGTGGGCTTACCAAGTCGAATAGCTGAGTTTATCTGCCACAAACCATATCAAAGATGAGTGGGAAACCTATATGGAAACTGTTAGCCCAAGTGCCTGTTCCCTAGTGCGATATTTCATCCACAATACTACAAAATAAGTTTCAGGCAAAATATATATCTATATATTTGTGTGGTTTTAAAAAAAATCTTTACATCAGAATGTGCATACCATTTAATAGTATAATTATTCCCCCATTTCCCTACAGCTCAGACAACTGTGGTAACAGCATGTACAAGTTCTCAAATTGGCTTTCATAATGTTAAAAACAAACAATACATCAGGTGTATTTACTCTGTGCAAATAAGATCTCTTTTGGAATCCTTCAGAAGACAAATCCAATGTTCCATCTGCAGACGTCCTTTTTTTCTTCTTCTTTTGACTAATGACTGTAGGCTTCCCTGCCAACCCCATATAAAGTGCTCCTGTCCAGCAGAACCCAACAGCCTTTGAAAAAAAAAATCCTAGTAATTTAAAGGACAACATTTATATATATATATATGTATATATATATTGATATTTTAAAAAAGCAAAAAAGAAGTGATCACACAAATTCCAGCTTTCCGTGCCCTCCATACATGCCCCAGTGGACTAGTGAAAGTATTCTGTCATTACTGAGATCCGGCTGTCGCATCTTCTCACAGGTCATGCAACAGTTCTCAAGACCAGTGACAGGCACCATGCATTCCAAGTCTAGCTTGGCCATTTGTCCTTTTTTGGAATGATGTCCATGGAAGCTGTAGTGTAATCTTGAGAGCATCTGTTGCCGCTGGTCCTGCAGTTGTTTGTTTTCGCTTCTGAGCATACGCAATGCTAGCATGATGAGAAGCACCAAGATCAGTCCACCTGCGATGGGGACAGCAATGACAGCAGCCCTGAACCACAATTCCTTTGAGGAGGTAAGCTCCTGAACTTTAGTGAGGAGGTTTCGGCTGTTGTCGTGTTGGTATCTGCTCCCTTGTCCTGCAAAGAAAAAAAGAGGAAAAAAAGGAAGGATGGGAAATTTAAAAACTAGTAAGCCATATCTTCAATAAATATTCTAGAAAAAATCCATTGTTACTCCCCATCATTTGAAATCACAGATATTACAGGAGATCCTTGATTTATGTCAGCAAGGGAGCCTACTCAAGTTTTAAAGTGGCAGTTGTTAAATGAATCACTGTGGTTGTTAGACAAACGTTGTGATCATTAAGTGAACCCATTGCTCTCTATGGGGCATTTTTGCATTTAAAAAAAAATCATAAACTGCAGTCCCATGAATAAATATGGGCCAGCTATCAAGGAAATGCAGTCACATAACCACAGGGACATAACTTCCACTGGTTAACTACCTATAAAGGTTTCCCTCTATAATTTGCGTACTAACCAGAACTTGATGAACCTAAAGCTTTATTGTATGGCTCCAGAAATACTAGGGAGGTGCTGCATCCCCAGGTTGTCCTATTTGAACAACAATGCACCTCTGTAAGTAGAATTATAGCAAATTGAAAGGAGAGGGGATTCCAGTTCCATCTTCTCCAATAAATTATAGATATACCTTACTGAAATGCAAACAAATTATGTACCTAAAACAAATGTGCTCATTAGAGATGCAACAACTAGCTGGAGCAACTTGATCTCTTCTGCACAAGCAAGAAACCCAACATAGTTTAGTGCAGTGTTTCTCAACCTTGACCATTTTAAGGCATGTGGACTTCAACTCCCAGAATTCCACAGCCAGCATTGCTGGCTGTGGAATTCTGGGAGTTGAAGTCCACATGCCTTAAAATGGTCAAGGTTGAGAAACACTGGTTTAGTGAGTCTGTACTGTTACTGTCTCAGCCTGATTCGATTAGAATGATAAATTAAACATGTGAAATGCTTTGCAAATTAAGAATGCTTTAGATCAGATTTTAGAAGAACTTGAACATGACACTACAAAGTATTTTAGCAGTGATTCTTTATAAATAATTACATACAGCATAAAAGCACAAAAGGAATTGAAAATCCCTAGAATTATTTGTTTGGAGCTTATAGTGAAACTTTATAGTAGATTATTAAATTTATTTTCTATAAACTAGCACAAGTATAGATTTGTGTCTCTTCAAAATTATAAGGTTCCGCATTTTCCTAATTAAATTAAGCTTTTGTTTTATCAGCCCAAAGACAACCAATTATGACTACAGGTATTAAGATTTTTTTTAAACAAAAATGACAGTTTCTATATGATTTATATAGTTCAGGACTGAAATAAAATTAAAGCAGATCTAATTGTCACAGAGAATATCTACAATATTTGGTTCCTAAGTTGACACCAACTTGATGACAGATGAGATTTTGCTGAACTCAGCAGCTCATAACTACAATATTCAATTCAGTAATATCAAGAATACAGTTTCACACTCTTTTCCCAACTTACTTTGTGATTTCCTTCACGATATAAAGTAAAACATCATAATGTAACCCATATGAAAATCCAGACATTTAGAGAACAGAATATGCAATTGAGGAAAATAATCACTAAATTTGAAACAATTAAGAGGCATCCTTGAGGACTGCAGTTCAACTAATGTATGCTTCCATTAATCAAAACATTGCTTATGATGCTGGGGATACAGCATCAATTAAATGAACTTCCTCAATCTGTAAAGCATCAACAGAGTTGCATTACAAGGTTTGTTGAGTCAAAGGAATTATTTGTGTTTTGTTTTCCTATCTCTGATCTGTTCCAGCACTGATTAGTACAAGGAACTGAGATCCATCGTTATAAAATTAAAATTTCCTTTTCATTAACATTTACACATACTGTAATTAATTTTAGTCTAATAGTTTATTTTACCCAGTCTATAATGCACCACATTGTGATGAAAGCAAGCACTCCACCCAAGACATGGATCCTCTCTGGCAACATGCCAGGTAAGATACAAATAAAAAAGCAAAGCTTTGTGTCTGATGCAAATGCAGATGTAAAAGCTTTTTGGAAAAGGTTTTTCTGCCACATGCTTCCTTCTCCACTTTGCTTAAGCCTAAAATCATTAGTAGGCTAACAAGATCTTGTCTGTTGCCAATACAGGATAAGAATGTGACTTACCCAATGGGTCACCTCTGGAAGTAGACAGAACATCATAGAGGCCTCTGTAATTGCACATATCCTCATGGCAACACTCCAGCGTGGGTATGGCAGTGCCAGAGTGGTTTTGGGCTATGTCAACTTGACAAATATCCAGGGTGCTTGCAAAGGAGTCCAAGCAACCATGAGTCAGTGGAGAATGGCTGTTTTGTGGGTCAAGCAGTCTAGAGAAGCAAGCACTGAGCTCCGATTTGCACATATAGCCTGTTGCAACACAATGTGCAGCATCACAGTAGCATCTGATTTCACCTGTTACAAAATAAAAAGCAAAGCTCTTTAGCCAACAGGTATTCAAAAAGTACTTGCTTTTATAAAAGTCTTTGCCAGGGATTGAGATACTTATTGCATTCAATGCAGAAATGTTAAGGAAAGTATACAGCAATAGAGTAGCATAATTTGATCATTATGAGCCATCAATCCTAGGACCACATGGATAATGGCAATCTATTCCTAACCAGTTGTTTCAAGTATCCCAAGGTGAAAATAGCATAACTGTCCTCTTTGAAACGCTTCTGGGTCAATTTATACCAGCATGATACTTTCATGATGCATTGACTACAATTCTCAGAATTCTTGGTCAACAAAATTAGTGGTTCTGAGAGTTGTAATCCCAGAGCAACTAAAGGGGAAGACTTGACTTGTGTGGTATGAGCAGGATGTTAGAACTTCAAGATACCATAACTGGATTTCAGTTTTTCCACCATAAATAAGCCATCTATATTATTATTGGCACACCAGCATGAATTAATGACGGTCAACAATTAGACCATCTGCTAATGGCTGCCAAGTATTTGAGACTGATACTAATGTGAAATAACTATAATGTACAAATACTAGACAAAGTATAAAGAAGCTGATGTATCAATAATATTTGCTATTTCCAAACAACAGAATCTGTGACATACCACCCAATCAAACAATGGGACAAAGAATTCTGACACAAATATTGCCAGAATAATGAGGGGCTTTATGAAAAGAATTTAAGGGTTTCTAATAACACTAGAAACATACACATATACTCCAGCTGTTGGAACACCAGTAGCAGCTTAATCTCTCATAGCAATTACATACAGAGACCAAGTTACTTACAGTATGTCTTACAAAGCAGGTCAAAAATCTGTTAAGCAGGCCATTTATTAACACTCAGTATTTCTGTCTGAGCATAGGATTTGCATTCCCTGACTATTTATTATCGCTTTGCTATATGGCAGATGCTCCACAGCATCCAGCATTAATTCTGAGATCTATTAGATTAATTTCAAAGTTAACAAAATATGACAATATTTTATTACTGAAGGCACCAGGCTAGAAGACCAGTACTCCTGCCTTAAGCATAAAAGCCATTTTGGGCCAGTCACTTTCTCTTTACCCATCCCACATCACAGGGTTGTTGTTGTGGAGAAAACAGGAAAAGAGAATATTAGTTATGTTCTCCACCTTGAGTTATTTATAAAAATAACAAAAGGTGGGATTAAAAAATTACATACACACAATGGACACTGCATTCCTCACAACTATATATCAGTGCATAACAAATGAAAAAATTCTAAAACAGAGACAAAACCTACAATCATCTTTCTGAACTTAACTGAGAACTTTGCCCCTAAGGAGATATTGAGAAATTCATCTATGGGACAAAAAAGAGAAGCATTAGGTTCAGCAGAAAATCTTGTTTCAAAGAGGAATTTCTCATGTAGAAGTGCTTTTTACTCCATTTTAAAACAGGAAATTTTGTTTACAAGTGTAGTTTTCCACTTGCCAAAATCAACTTCCTTCGATGGAAGGAAGGATGCAAGAGTAAAATTAAACTTTCCTCTACCGCCACCAGCTCCTCATTCACTCAACCCATCATGTGGTCAAAAAAGGTAAACACTTAACCTGAAAACCCTCTGCTCTTGGACTAAAAGAAAAACGCACAGGAAACCACAAAGATTTCTAAAGGAAGTTTAAAAAAAAAGTTCCCTTCATAAAAACATCTTCATTTCATAGTCTTTAAAAATGAGAATCATTTTATTACACACAGAAACTGTTACTCTTTTTAAAATATATTAGTTTAAATCTGAAAAAAAGTAATAAAGGAAGTTGGAAGAAAAGTGGTTTATTCTCAACTTTGAGAAATTATCATCATAGCAAGAACTATATGTTTTTCTTAACCTTCTTTAAAATCAACCATAAAGACACCCAATACATTTTATTCAAAAAAAGGCTTTAGAATTCTGTTTTCCAAAGCAGTTTAGAAATTACAATGCACACATCCACGCACATCTTACTAGAGAGAGAGAAAATAGTTCAGCAGACCTATTCTTTTAGGAGTAGATGTAATATCAAGTCCACTGAGTTTTAAGCATGTGTACACTTGTGTGTATCATGCTCCAAAGTCTCTGCCTGTTGAATTTATGAAGTTCAAAAACAACTAGCATTTGGAGAGCTATTTTGACAGAAAACACTTCACCTCTCCTTTGCCTGGAAATGTTCATTTGGTAAGCAAAACAAACATTAAGATTCTTCACTCAAATGGATAACTGTGACAAGAAAAAAAAAAAAGAAATTAAAAATGGAAGGTTGTATACAACATGGGTGATAGTTAAAATTATCAGATCTTATTCTTGATGTTCTGATGCTAAAGTCCAATTTTCCTAAACTTATCTTGATCTTTCTCTCAGAGTTTTGTTATCCCAATTTTGCATTCCCCCTTAAAGGTCATCTAAGCAAATGTTATCTAACAAGCAGATTCAAACAACTGAACATCTTACACTGACAATTCATGGATAATATAAAAACACTTAAGAGAGAAATTCCACAAGAGCCCTTTTCCACAAGCTGTCTCAGAAAGTAACATGCAGAGAGGAAACAAACCATAAGACTTTGTTTCTGTTTTAACAGCTTATATGACCTTGTTTGAAAATCTTATCTCTTCTCTGATCCAAAATTGGCTCTTAAACAAAACCTGATAGAGCAGTCATCAAGTTATTACAGTTCCGTTTTAATTACTCAGGTTATCACATTTTTTAAAAAAAAACTTAAAACCTTTCCAGTGGAAAAGAGCAAGAGTTTTGTAATATTGTATTAGGGTGGGTGGATGGGGGGATAGTTATTTCTGTCAATTCATAAAAAATAACTTTCGGAACTATGCAAAAGGCCAGAAAGGGTATTTGATATTTTCAACAGTGAACAATGCCCTTTCTGTTCACCTCTTCTTTCTTGTTACTGTATGTAGCTATTAAAGAAAAATGTCTGCTTTTAGTCAAGGTGGCTTCAGGAGAGACTGCAGACTACTCTTAAAGCGTTTGAAGTTGACAGCAGCCAGAAGTCTGTGATCCCCTAATTATATCATTATCAGGCACATAGTTTCAGTATCTGCAACTGTACATTATTCCCAGTCACTCCATTCTTAGTCTCTCTTTGATGGGGCCAGAAAGCTTCCTTCCCTCTGCTGGCTTCAAGGGCTGTTATTTGGGGTTAATTACACCCTTCTTTCCAAAATAAATAAATACTATAGCACATCAACCCTGTGCTTGCTTATCCTTTAACCTCCTCTCCATGAAACATGGCAATTATGGGAAACGTCAACTTTCCCATTCTCTCCTCTCCCCTGCCTTGAACAGTACCTTTTATTTCTAAAAAGGGAGGAGGAAAAAAAAACATTTTGTGCTGACTGTAGTAGGAACACCCCAAAAGTCTGAACTTTTGCGATTGTCTGAGAAAACAATTTGCCCTTAAATGCTACCAGCCTCACAAAATCGCTGAGTGGTGTGCAGTTAATTTATTTCAAGTTAAGCCTCTGGCTAGCCAACATCAAGGAAACTGGTAAGGGATGGTAGTCTGGAAAAGGCTGGATCTGCACATTGTACTGCTTTGTGGTTGTGCCATAAACAACCATTTATGGCATAAATCCTTGGCAGGCAGGTTTTCCCCTAAGCCAAAAACAAAGCAAATTATGTCTGACTACAAGCCTGGATCTAGGTGGTTTTTAGGTGGATCTGCCCTTGGCTCCCCCCTCCCCCCTTCCAGAGAAGCCCTGAAAGAGAAAAGACAGGAATCTCTTGCTCAGCCTGATTTGGAAGGTGGAAATGGACGAAAAAGTGATTCGCCTCTCAGCTCCAAAGAGCTAAAAAAGTTCCAAAGCGCACCAAAGATGGCCTAAGCCAGGGGTAGGCAACCTTGGCTCTTTTATGACTCGTGGACTTCAACTCCCAGAATTCCTGAGCCAGCTATGCTCCACGAGTCATAAAAGAGCCAAGGTTGCCTACCCCTGGCCTAAGCAAAACATTTTGACAACCGCTTGCCCCGAAGGTTGCTTCGCATCAATGAAGCCGGGGGCGAGGAGGGAGGAAGCCACGCGGGAGGCGGAGAGGGAGCGTAGGAAATCCAAGCCTCGCCACCACTTCCAAGAACAGGCGAGCTTGTTCTGGCCTGCGCGCCTCGGCCCGGGAAGAAACCCGACACCCGCACAAAGCCTTGGCAGCACTCTTCAAAGGCCGCGCTGGGCCCAGCACATGCAACTCGCCAGCCGGGGAGGGAGAGGCCGAACAAGAGAGGCCAGGCCGGCCAAGGGGAGGGGAGCAGCCCCGGGGAAATGGCGAGGTTGAACGGCTGGCGGGATGCTACTGGGCTTACCCGCTGCGAAGGCGGCCGCTGCCATACTGGCAACCCCGCCTGGCCCGGCAGGAGCTACTGAAGGGTTACAACGCACAGCGCAGTCCCTTTCCGAAGACCCTTCTCCAGAGCGACCTCTCGCCCTCAAAGTTTGTGGCCTGCGAAGGGGAGAGGAGGGAGGCCGGCTCCTCCGGATCTTCCCTTCCTCGGAGCTTTTCAAGTCGCCGCACTGTTCCGCCCGCCACTTAGCAGGACTTCTCGCCAGGGAGCCCGGCTAGGTTCGCCGGGTCCCGCTAGATACGGCGGGAGTTCTGTGGCCTTGGGGGATCCTGTGGGGATGTCCGTGGCGCTACAGGGTTGCGCGCTTCGTCGCATCCATCCTTGAGAGCAAGTCCTGTTGCGCGCCCAGAATTGGAAGGTAAGGCCGCAGCCTTGGAAGCCCTTGGCTGGCATTAAAAGCCCCCCAAGGTTGAACAGGTCTACACAGGAGGCAAGACTTCCCGCACTTAAATTACAACCCAGAACCGGAGGTGCGGGTGAAGCCTGATTTCAGATCCTCGGGGCTCCTCTCCCTCCGCCCTACATATCAGCGTGGCCAGTTTCTCGGGGCCGCCTCTTTGGTCGTACTCAAAATGCCCGCCACCTCCCCAGTCAACTCCCTTATGATTTTCCCAGCCGCTTTTAAAGTTCTTCTGTGGAAGCGACCGTCGGGTTGAGAGTTGCCCAGAGGCAAGCGCATCCTAAGCCTTCGGTGTACATTTCCTTTTCTCTCCAGGGGTTGCCCTAGGTCCGAGCGCCTTTTGCAGACTTGCCGCTTTAGAGAGAAAGTACCTGTCATGTGGGCACGTGCAGAGAGCTTGAAAACCCCCAGTGTTGGGCAGGTTCGTCGGACTAAGGCACCACCACTGCTTTGGCACGCAGGATCCTGGTTACCTTCACTCATCACAATTAATCCAATTCTCAGGATTCGCACCGCGCACCAAACTAAATACGAACCATACTGACTGCATTCCCACCTTGCGCTGAACGATGAAAAACCGTAAGTTTAAAAACAAGTTGGGCATGGTGGGAAACGCAGACTCTACCCTGGACCGCGATTCACCCGCTGGTCGGCGAGCGACGCACCGCCCCTAAAGACCGAGCGGTACATCGGCCCTCAGCCACCCACTTCTCTCGTCAGCACCCACTCCGCAAGCGCGTTTCTTTCCCCCTGTTCTTTTCGCTCCAAGACCGGCCCCGCCACGAACCCTCCACGCTCCGAACCTTGAACCAGACTAGGAAAAAGAGGCATCTCCACCCCCGCGCGATCGGGGGAGGTTCCCTTGGATGCCTCGTCCTTCCGAAGTACCCCGGCGCTGGAGCTCACCTTTGGTCAATAGGATGGCTATGGCGCACAGCTCCAGTTGTAGCCAGATGAAGAAGAAACTGGAGTGACGCTCCATTGAGGACCCTCCTGTCTGGCTTTTTTTGCCGCCGGGCGTACCGAGATTGCTTCACCTTGCGACACCGCAAGGAAGGGCTCCGATCGGACAACGCATCGACTCTTCCTAAGAGCGAACCGTCTTCTCGCGTCGTCCGTCCTGCAGTCCCAGATCCCAGCAGGGCCCGCCGGACCCTGGAAATGCCGGACTGGCGAGAAAGCCCCTTCAGCTGCAACCACACCGGGCGCGCGGAGAACCGATTCTCCGGCCGCTGCAGCGCTCTGCCCCGCGCAGACCTTGTTCCTCGCCACTTTCCTAAAGCCAGCGCGCAAGGGAGACAGTACGGCGTCCCCACTCCCCTTTACGCCCGATTCTTGCTCTGTAAATAACGCGGCCGCCCCGCCGCCTGACCCCACCTCGGTCCGCCCCTCGCCCCGCCCATAGCCATTGTCGTAGGCGGGGCCGAGGTGGCGCTCAAACTAGCGGAGCTTGGCGAGCGAAGGGTGGGGAAGCTGACCCTGGAAAAAGGACCGTTCTTACTCGCTTTCTTCTGGGTTTTTAGGGTCGTGCAAATGGGCAGCAACGTTTAGTTCAAGGAACGGCTCGCGTTGTGGGAAATGCACGCTCTGTCCTTTTTTTGGTTTGCTTTGTTTTTAACTTGGGGGGGGGGGGTTCAGAATCGCCCTGCGTGCCAAGTTTTGTGCCAGGAATGCCTGCTTCCGACGAAATAAAGCTCGCGGATAGGTTTTTATGGCCTAGAAACCCATAAAATGAAACGAGGGATTACAAGGCAGGTAGGGCTATGTGGCCAAAAGGGGAGAGGGAGGTGGGATGAAGAAGAGGTTTGGCGGGGAGCAGCTCCCTTGGGAAGTTCCACCGGTGCCTTCCCTTCCCTGGAAAGGCGACAGGAGCTTCCCCTCCGTGCGTCCTTCGCTTAGGATCAATAAAGCCTCGTCAGACGGACGGTTTGACCAGCAGGAGCCTGACCACTCCTTCGGATATAGCTGCTCCGGGAGTAGCCGGCAGAAGACAGTTACTGAAAATTAGCAAATGCAAAAGCAGCAGGCGCCAGCAGGGCGACGCAGACAGAGACTGACACTCAATTATACCCCCAACAGCCCCAGCAAACACGCAGCCTGGGCCTGATCAATATCAGCCCCAAAGCGATCTTCTTACTGAGTTGCTAATTCATTTATTAGAGAACTCTCATGAAACAGGCAGGCGGGAATTTCGGTCTTTCTTCGTGCAATTGTTCCCCTCATTATTCTGGCAATGTTGCATTGTCCACCCCTAATTGTGTATAGGCAAGCAAATGTACGCAAGCACGTATAATTCTGATTTAAAAAAAAAACATGAAACAAAATTCTATATGTCTTTGATAAGGGAGAGTGAGACCCCCTCACTTCATTGCGCTTGCCATTTTTTTTATCTTTAGGCTTTATTGATTTAATTGCAATTTCTTTGATTATTGCGAATTGGGCAGAATCATTTGGTCAGCATACAAATTTAAATGATTATTATTACGTCTATTGCAATTCTCAGATTTCCCTGAGTTTTACTCCAGAAATGTATTTAACCGAGTCTTGGGAATCTCGTTGGGATACTATGTGATAGTTATATTTTTATTTCTTAAATGTATATGCTGCCATCTTGCTATCAAAGTAATAGCATGGCTTACAAGACAATAAAAACAAAAATATACCAACATTAAAACATTAAAATTAGTAGGCATTGGATCAAACTAGGAGCTGGTACACGAGAAGTATGGCGATGAGATCTCCTCATTTCATCAAAACAAGACCCTTCTCATTACAATTACAATGATGGAAGGATCAGTGAACAGATTAATAGAGCATGTAGCTATGTATGTGCTTCCCAGTCAGTTTTTGACTCTTGGCGATTGCCTGGACGAGCCCCTGCAGTTTTCTTGGCAAGTGATTAGCCATTGCCTCCTTCCTTAAAATTGGGAGAAAGTGACTGGCCCATGTTCAGACAGCTGTCTTCGTATTCAGGAAACATGGTTCTTGTTGTCTAACCTAGTGTCTTAACCATTATACCAGATCGGCTTTTTCATGATACACAAAAGGGAAACGGGTGCTTGGATAGCATGACTGTGACCACCATCTTGATTTTAAATCTGTGTGGAGGCACCTGCCATTCATCCCTTCCCTGCAACCCTCTTATATTCAAAGAGACAGAAGTCCAAAGTATTTTTATTTATTTATGCAATTTATCTGAATGTAGGATGGACTTTAGGTGGCTGACAGATATTGGTATTGCATCGAACATTGCCATAGATGCTTTGGAATATAAGCATTTTTGGGGTGCTTCAAACAAGTTTCTGATGCCCCCATTCCCATCTTCTCCTTGATTTCTGATATAATACAGTCAAAAGGAAACCAGAACTTCATATGCAAATATTCACTGAGTTAGTGCAATAAAATCTTTGAAAGAGGCTTCTTCAACTTTTTTTTAAAACAACATCTAAGCTGAGATTACAATTGTCTATAAAGCTGTGTTGAACAGATTTTAATGCCTACAATGAATCTTATAATCAGTTTCAGGATAAAAGGAAATAAATGTGACATGTCACTGGTACAAGATGGATTTTCTCTCCACAATATGGACACCCACCAGATAACCAAAAAGACTTTTTTATAAGAAAATTTTACATTTTTCAGGTTATATTACATTTCACATACATTTTGTCACTTGGGCTCATTTCAATGTTCTGTCAGCTAATCTAGAAGAAAGATACAGGAGATTCCCTTAATGGACCATTGATGTCTCTGTAATGGTGGCCAAGAATAATTATTTAACTCGTTGCCATCCATTATGCATCTTAGAGAGACATTTATTGTACACTGATGCATCTATTACTATTCATTATTATTGTTACCATTCATTATTTCTGGGCAATGACTCTTCCATAGGTTATAATGAAGCCCAAGTACGCGAGCAAGCAGTAAGTTGACTAGAAATATTTAATATTTTTGTTTTTAATCTTATTCCCAGATACCTGAATTGGCTGTTCAAAGCCTTTTTAAGCAATATATATTAATTGCTTTAATTTGATTAGGTATTATGATAGGGCTCAGATTAGGAAACAAGTTAGTTTAATTCCCTTTATTAATTTTGCACATGCCTTTTGATGTCATCACTCAATATTTAAGAATATTGACATTCAATCCATGAGAATATCCCTCAAATCTCTCTTTCTTTGAAATAATTTCTTCAATGAATTCTTTTTCATCAATTGTTTTTTAACCTGGCATTAAATCTGATCCATACCCAGAGAAGATCTTGCTGGGGAAATCTGTGCAGAATAGAATTGACAGCACCTGGCCTCTAATCACATGCCACGTTATTACAGCCCATGTTATTGCAGCCCATTCATACTCCCCTTTAAAAATAGAAATCCCTTACAATCTGTCTTGCTTCTACCTGAGGAACAGGTAGAAGATGAAAGAGTAGACCATTTTATCAACCTTTCTTGAAATCAATTTAGCACTAGGAGACCACAAGTGAAAACTGGAAATCGGCCATGGGACTTCCACTTACTGAAATTTTGAGTCTACAATATTCTCTTGTACTAGAAGTTCATACCAGCTTCAAAGGGAAAATGAGTATCTGTCATTGAAAGAGGTATTACATTCCTGGCATTGCGGATAGGGTCTTTCCTTTGTTTTAACCTTGCTGTACATTGTATTGCAACATCACACTCAGATTGTATCAACTATTGTATCTAGTTGATTCAAATTAGATTTTGAAAACCATCGAGTCAACAAATGATATCCCTTCCACTCTCTGTCCTGAAATTACATTTCTGTATATTAGACTTAGCATAGATCAGTGGTTCTCAACCTGTGGGTCGGGACCCCATTTGGGGTCGATCGACCATTTCACGGGGGTTGCCAAGCAAGGCTGTCCGCCATTTTTTTTCCCTTTTCCGGCGGGTGCCTTACCTCCCTTGGGCTGGGCCAGCTGGTGGTCGGCCTGCTCCGTCTCTGCCGCTTGCCAGCTACGCCTCGGCCGGCACAGGGGGTGGAACCATGCATGTGCGGCGCTCCCGGGCAGAAAAAGTTCTCGACTTACGACCGGTTGGGTAGTCCTCAACTTACGACCGGTTTAGTCCTCGACTTACGACCGGTTTAGTCCTCGACTTACGACCGGTTGGGGTCGCGGCATTAAAAAGGTTGAGAACCACTGGCATAGATGAACAGTTGATAGATAAGAAAAAGCATTTCCATACCATTCTTTCTAATCCTTGTTAGCCAAACCAGTTTAAAACAATTATCTCCTATAGAGTCTCCCCAGTTGATGGATTCCAACTAGGTCCAATTAAGCAATGCCATCTCTCAGGAGCCCTGAAGCACACACACACACACACACACACACACACCCGCCTCCCCTCCAGAACTGTGAAGACCTGACTTTTCATCCAGGCCTTTGCTGAGGGAAAGTAAGATCTCCTTTCATTCTATCTTGTTTTATTTTTCCCCTCTTTTATCGGTTTATTGTAATTTCTTTGTTTTGAGTTTC